AGTGGGCTTAAGGGCCCTTGTTTGGGGAAATAGCTGCTTTGCTACTTTTTTTCTGGTTATAGTAAGTGATGCGATGGTGAATGCCCTTGTATGTTCGTTATGCTCTGGCCTGCAGCCATCGCTTCCCATTCCTGTCCAGTCAGTTTATGCTTTGTTGTGAGCCATAGGAATAAGGTTGCTGAAAGCAGGGGATATCAAGACCTTACCATTATGTTTATAGGACAGTTTGAATACTTTGAGTCCATTCAGAAAGCAGAGTTTCACGCTGCTATTTTTTTTTTCCCTGCAGGTAAGTGCTGCAAGGAGAGTGTGTAATTAACTGTTTTCTCCTCATTCAGGAATACTGCTGGCTGAATAAGTGAGAAGGGAAAAAAAAATCAGCTGAGCAGTAATCAGGGCAAAATGCCTTTACTGCCCTTTTGTACTTTAAAGGAGAGCCACGCTGGGCCTATTTAACTATAGGTCAGAAGCTTTAAGAGCAAGTAATAATTATAGTAACTTACCTGGGTTCTTCACTGCCATGTATGTTAGTGGGCTGTAGCACCTGCTATTAACAATAGGTTTGAATTATAGCACTCATCTTTTTTTTGAAGTAGCAGTACAGTTATGCAATAGAGAAGTGAAAACTCAACTGGCAACTTTGAGTAACATCCAACAAGACAGGTGTCTGTGCAGGTTTGAAGAATTGGTTTAAACAAGCTTTGGCTATCTTAGTCCGAGAAGAGGGAGCTTTCAATATGCAGCTTTTCCAAGGTTGCCTTCAAGGCTCTGCCAAATGCAGGAGTCGTTCAGTGATCTTCCTGCGTGTGGATTGAGAGTTACTGTTAGATGCAGCTGGAGATTTGGCATCAGATCCTGCCTGTACCAAACTGAAGCTGGAGGAAGAAGGGCCTTCACGTACACAACTCACCTGAACTTCTTTGTGAAAATCCTGTTGGTAGCATAAGCGTGCACAGCCTCTCTGTCTTCCAAAAACGTGCTCTCAGAAATGTCAGGCTGAGGCTTTAATGAAAATGCTGGCATACGCTGCTAGTCTGAGTTGTGAAATCTTGAGCTCAGGGGTTTGCAAGTAGGTACTGTTTGTAGTACTTTTCAGCTTCTGCCTGGAAATGCATTACGCCAGACCAGGAAAGCACATGTGTGTGACTTATTAGACAACTTTATGGTGATATGGGAAACTTCTTGTTCCTCTTGGTGTAGGATGTAGAATTTAAAGACAGGCTTTTTTGCTTGTGTAGCCAAGTCTCTTTCCAGTTGCCTCAGGAGTGTCTGACAGGGAATCCTCTAATTGGAGGATTTCCTCCTCTGCAGCAGTGTAATTGCCTATGGTTTTCCCAGGCCTTGCCTTAACCCTCCCAATTAATGGTTGACTAAAACTTTCTAAAACCAGTTGCCAGTTGTTTTGCTTCCCAAACCGGGGGTGGGAAAGGGGGTGGTCTGAACTACAGGCTGACTTTTCAGTGGCTGCTTCATTTCAGTGCTTGTTTGAGCTCTGACATCAATAAGAGCATATGGAAAAGAGTATATTGCATGCAGAGGTACGCCCAGCTAACTTGGGCGTGGGAAGCTCTGCCTGCTACGTTTAAAGGTAGACTTGTAGGTCTTTAAAACCAGTTCTTTCTTCAGATGTTTCCATGTTAATAATGACATGTATAAGTGTAGTTGTTTGTATTCTTGTGATCTGTGTTACATTTGAGCTCTGTATCCAGCAGATACTTGATGGCAGTGATCATTGTTGTTTACTCAGAGCTTGACCATTCAGAGCCTGTAGCCGATGCTGCTCCCTTAGATCCCAGAAGAATGGAGTAGGAGGGAGAAACTTTAGCAGGTCTGCTTTGCTGTGGAACAGAAGGAAATATGAAATATGCTTGAGTTTTATAATGACTGCTTCAACCAGGTGCACAGATAAGCTTTTGTGGTTTAGAAAGTGTAGGGCAGGTAATTGTTTACTCAATAAGGTATCTGTATCTGGTAAAGAGCAGTGAAACCTGTGGCTTGCTGGAGTAATCTGCACCTTTTTTACGTGACTCTGCTTCTTGAGTCCATCAAACAGCGAACGGGAGCTACCTCATGTGGAGGAGCCTTGGTTTCACCATGCCCTGTGCTTCAGTGCGTGCTGCAAGCTGTTGTGGGACTCAAGTTCCTGTCTCATGCCTCTGTTCATTTCTTAACTTTCCCTCCGTTAGACTAACATAAGACAACTGGTGCACTGCAACTTCGGTGGGTTACAGCCAGCTTGGCTTTGATAAGTATTAGAGACATCAGTCTTGTTTTCCCTTGTAAGTCATTGAGTATCTGGGTTGAGAAATGGTTCTGAATGGAAACTTCAGGCTCTGTTGAGAATGACACTGGAGCCAAGTGGCTATTTTTGCAGGCTCAGTTTGCTTTTTCTCAGCTGTTTTGGCTCTGTCACTTCTCCAGTCAAACTGGTATGAAGAGGAATAAGTTGGGAAACAATGGTCTTGGATAGCTGTCGTGTCAGGAGGGTGTATTCCTTCTTTAGCTCTAATTTGTGATGTCTTGCTGCAGACTTGCAGCTTTGTTGTTTCCTGCGCTTATTGCAAGCAGTGTGCTAGGAGTGTACCGGAGAAAACACATCTGATGCTGCAGAAAACAGCAGTTTTTAGCCCCTGTCTTCAAATAATGCCATGTTATATGGCTTGGCTGGAGGGCAGCAAGGTAATGAAACTCTTCATCACCAGTGGGGAGAGACCATCCTCAGAGACCTCCCCCCCTACCTCTCTGTAACCACAGGTTTTTGATTCTATATTCTGTTAGCTAGCCCTTAAGGGATGCTTGATTTATTTATTTTTTTCCCCTCTGGTTCATACATCCTTGTTGGCCAAGTTTGTTGAGAATTTATTCTAACTAAAAAGTGCCTTGAAACGAAGTTACTCCCGTTTTAGAAACAAATGACCTTAACGCTTTGTGCAACTTAGGACAACTGATTCACAGTAAAGGATCTGCTGGGGCACAGGAGCAGCAGGTGTCTGTTACTTACTTCAGTGGCTTCTTTTGAGGACCAGCAGTGATGCAAAGAATAACGTTCTGCTTTGCTCACAGTTAAGTTGTGTTCATGTAGCAGATTTTCTGGGGTGTTTAAGACAACGTAGTTCGTGTGTCAGGTTGAACAAACTTAAAGGCATCCGTCCTTCCCAATTTGGTCACTTTGAGGAGGATTTAGTTTGCAGTGGTCATGGCTTCCACTCTCTGTGGGCTTCAAAGATATTTTAAGAGATGCTGTTCTTCCTTTTAAATGCTCAGTGGATCCCAGACATTAATATCCTATGAAAAAGGTGGTGGGATGTTGGGAATGACTCCTGCGATAACTTTTTTAGGCTCTAGGGGAGAAATTGTGGTGAAATAGAGCCTGCTTAGCTAGGCATTGCCTGTTTGGTCTGACATCAAATGCGTTCATCTTAAATTCAGAAAAGATTTGTGCAAACAGCAAAGGCTGTTAGCAGTTTTTTAACAGGTTATTCTATGAGAATGCATCTCCTAAGGGGAGGCTGCTTCTGAAGAAAGCAACTGCTGGTTAACTCCTCTCCAATTGGAGATTTGTATGGACTAGCAGGAGCATGAGGACAGCATTGGAATCTCTGGGCCTGAAAGCAAGGTGTAGCTTATGGCACATCTGCTGCACATGTTACATAGAAAATTATGATACTGTTGTCCACAGCACCTTGCTAGATACCTGGTCAAATTCTGAAGGCACGTACGTGATAGCATGTCTTATTAACCATCACTAATAGCAAATATAGCAGGCACTGGGAGTCGAGTGCGGCTCTTCTGCTTTTGTTTGCCTTCCATTTCCCTTCCAAATTCATTGCAGCCACTTGTTAAGGAGGCAGATATCCTGTATTGCCATCTCAGTAGATCTTTTCACCTCTTGCCTGTCCCAGGCTCTGTGGAGCACTGCCTGGCTGCGTGTCTTGCTCAGAGTGCTGTGCTTGTGTTGGTTGAGAAATAGTTCTGAAAAGAGCTAAAGCTTTGGTGCCCAGCTGCATTCTCCTGTTTTCCTAATTTGGGTTCCCATGTCCTCTGTTTTCTCCTGTGACTCTGAATGCTGTTTGTCTGTTGGTTCCCACTTGTTGCACCATACCTTCAGGCTGTTGGTTCTTACTTGTTGCACTATATACCTTCAGGTGTCCTTCAGCTCTGCCTGCTGTCTGGTGTGCCCTACAGGGCACAGCCCTCACTGGCACCTGTGCCTCAGGTTTATTACAGCTGATTCTCATAGCATCACTACTGAGTCATTTCTTTTAATTGTGCCTAGCTATTGGCTGAAAAAACAAAAGAAAAAACTGATCTTGGTGTCATCTAGACATAACTTATGTTAAAAATAGTTTAAGGTCAGCTTGAATTGGCCAGGAGGTTCTTTGCTTGTCACTGGTGCTCTGGCTTTGAGTGGTTTACAACTGTTGAAAGCTTCAAGGGTGAACACGTACCTGGTTTCCAGTTGAAACAAACTGCAGTATTGCTCAGAGTTCAAAGAACTGCTGATTGCCCTTTTGATCTTTATACTGTCTAGTTGCCATTGCACTTTTTTTCTGTTCTATTTTACGAGCATAAAATATTACGCTTGTTTGAGTGGCTGCTTCAGATTATTAATACGTTAGAAAAACATAACTGTTATTTTTTTTTCCAGTCCCATCTGCTTTGATATGATTGAAGAAGCCTACATGACAAAATGTGGACACAGCTTCTGGTAAGATCTTTGTATTGCACAGATCATCCATCCTGTATGGTGCTTGAGACCTAACATTGCTGTGGATCACTTTCCTTGTGAGTTGTTCCTTCTATTTTCTGGCCTTACATTGAAGACAATGAAATCAAGTTTTAAGAGGTGGTTGCCACTAGTTAGACTAAAATAAAGAAGTCTCCTAAGTGTTTAAAATGAAGCTTAGTGTATATATTTCTCTGTAAAGAAAAAAATGGTCGTAAACTGTTGATAGCACTCCATGTCCAGGGTCAGGGCTGTTTCTGCTGGAAATGAAAAGGTTTTTTTTTCTATTGCCATCTAAAGCAGTGGGTGTTGCTGTTATAAAGGTCATGAGAGCCAGTGTTGGTGTTGGCAGGTCCTCTTTGCTTTTGTGCAAGCCTTACACAGTTTGAAGAGGCCTCCACATTATCTGTTGCAGTTCTATTGAACTTAAGAGAGAGGGTATGTTTCAAGCTTGCTTCTTTATTCACTCCTTTATATTTTTCTCTTTGCAAAATGTTTACTAGGAAACTGTTACATCACATTGGCTTGAGGTTTATGTATTTTTCAGTATGTTATCTCTGGCTTTCACAAGGAGCAAATCTTCTCTGGAGAAGGACAAGAACCCTCCAGGTGCAGGTGTGGAGTTATCTACTTCCCAGGCTTCAGCTAGGGGGTTGGAATAAGTGTTGACCCATGAGATTTTAATGTCTGGTGTGTACTACACTCTTACAGTGCCTGTTAAATAGAAAAATAATCTCCTACTTTTTACTAGTAGTATTTTAGGAGCATAAAACAATCACCTTGAGCAGCAGTTAACTTTCAGGGTATGTTTTGTCCTGCATACAGGTAGGATAACACTTGATTTTGTGCTTTGTACATAATGTTTCATTATAGATCACTGGGATTCTTTTTAAGAAGTCCAAGATGAAGGGCATTAGAGTACCATTATTTAGGTAGAACAGAACAATGATGCGTCATTGGATGTTTCTTTCTTCAGCTGACTTGAAGCTAGATAGGGAGTGAGGTTCTTTAGCTCCGTGCTGAAGTGCATCTTGTTAGTCCATCCCTCAAATGGCTAACTAGTTATCTCAGCGCCTTTGGAGTGCCTTGTATTAAGAACAACCACTGGGAGGTGGGGGAGAAAATTGTGAGACTCTTTTAGATGCCTGTGCACTATTATCTGAATGTGCACTAGCTTTCAATGTCGCTTGCAAAATATTTGGCTGATGTAAAAAAGTTGCTTCTGAATAATGCAGCCCATCTGCCTGCTTTACCTGTGGAAGAGGAGCATGAATTCAAGATCAAGCATGACTGAAGTAGCCACATTGTCACAATTCTTATTGAAATAAATGAGTGAAGTACTTAAACACAATTTTGTAATCCTTGCCAAGAAATTCAGTTTTTGCTGTAGCATGCCCTTAGTCAATACTGGAATGCCTTGACTCCACTGTAGCATCTTGGCAATGCAGCTGTTAACTAGCCATCCAAAGGAAGTACACATTATGTAAGGTTTATACTATTTCCTTTGTGCTTGTGTAGCTTTTTATTTTCTGTTTATTCACTTGTATTTTATTTGTTATTTTTTTTAATAGCTACAAATGTATTCACCAGAGCTTGGAAGACAACAACAGATGTCCCAAATGTAATTATGTTGTGGACAACATAGATCATCTTTATCCCAACTTTTTAGGTGAGCTCTAGGTTTGTTTGTGTAAGTAACGTCTTAGTTGTGATGGGAGACATGTACCTGTAAATTCATCCTATAAATAATCTGCATGCAGAGATTGAAAATGAAGTCCAAGCATCAGCCCTTTGGTCAACTGTGTTTTAAAATAAATAAATACACGTGGCTAGTAGTATAAATTGTTAATACTCCACTGCCTCGAGCAGTTCTGTATGCTGAGTTATGGCAGCAAGGCTGTGACTTGCTTTTTATAGCATGCAAACAGCAGCAAGATGATGATATTTTATGGTGAGTAGAGATTTCAATCTCTATAATTACTTCTGATTTCTTGTGCTGTCATTTGTTTAATAACCAAGAACTTGTGCTGTTTCTGAAGTACAGATGCTGATGTGGGGAGGCTGAATGGTGCTATTTTGACTGCCACTGCGTGGCTCATGTGATCGTGTCATCTTTGTGTCTAAATTACATACAGAAAATATTTGTACGTGTGTACAGTGCTAATTAATTGCTGCAGAAACAAAGAAGGGAAATAGTTAAATACTATATTACAGGGAGAAAAGATCCAAGTGAAACATGTTGGAGTATGAAATATCAACATAGAACAAATCTTGATTTTATAGCTGGGATATCCATTTAGTAATAACCTCTGAGCCACAGTAGCCAACAGATGTTTCAGAAACAGGCACCCTGACTTAGCCCCAAGCATGCTGTGCTGGAAGTGGTGTTAAGGCAAGTTGTGGAGGTTGTGTTAGGCTGAAGCATTGTTTCTGTACACTTACAGTTAAGGGGTCTGTACTGGGAGAAAAAGAGGTGTATGTATGGAAAGGGGTGAACTTCTGTCTCTTTACACTACTGGTGTGAAATTAAATATTTTAAGAATGAATGTACTAATATAAAGGACTAAGTAAGTTTTTGTTTGGCTGCACTTGTTCTTGGCCTGTAGTAAATCTGTTGATGTTTTATATCCTTCAAACTCTTCTGTGATGTGTTTTCCAGTTCCAAGACAGACACACTGATGCTTAGAAAAATGAAGTGGAGCAATTTTGTTAATGTGTAGGCATTATATTTGCAGATGGCCTCTTATATATCTTTATACCCTTTGCAGAAATTTGGCCAGATAGTAAATTTAGAAAAATATCAGTAACTTCATACTGTTTTAGTTGTTAGTAAACTTTCTGTGTAATTGAAAATAAAAATGGGGGTGAATTTTCTCATATTTTATTTGAACTCTTAAATAACTCTTCTGATACCTGGGTTTTTTTTTGTTGTTTTTTTTTCAGTCAATGAACTTATTCTTAAACAAAAACAGAGATCTGAGGAGAAAAGATTCAAACTGGACCATTCAGTGAGTAGCACAGTATGTTCAACCTTTCTTACTTTATATTTATTTAAAGATTTTGTACAACAATTGCTATTACGTGGCTTAATTTATTAGAGATTGTATTGTCAAGCTGGTGTTTTAATATGCTTTGTGGGGGAATAACACCAATATTAGTGTATCTCCACAGCCTTATTAACTCCAGTTCTTCCTGCCAACATTCATAGAGGTAGAAGTGAGTTGCTAGTTACTTAGCATAGCTAAATGTCATGTGAATATGTACTGAATATAACCTGAGAAACTACCCATGAAAACACACTTATTTAAAGGTAACCATCTTTATTCAGTGCTGGAAATTACAGCTACATTAAGACTAATAAGTAATACAGGCTTGTCTGATCATGCGTGAGAGGTTAGGTTCTAAAGAGAAATTGAAGGAAGGATAATAGTAACCACAAGAGGGAGAAAGATGTGTTTGGAGTACTGCTGTACTGGCTCTGATCCCAGGTACAGCTGCCTGGTTCTCTTCTAGATTTTGTTCGTGTTGGGGAATCAGAGTGCAATTTAGGCTGAGCTGTGTTCTCTAGAGGAAATCCCTCTGCTGTAGCAATGGATGCTTTTGTACATTTAAGATCAGAACAGTATATGATATTAATCAGAAAAATTGCATAATATTTGTCTTAGTTCTTCAGGTTTCCTTCCTTGGCTTCCATAACTTGTAAATAAGGATGCAAAGTAAAGATATTTTGTTCAGTTAAAAAGTAGTAATAATAATAATGAGATCTCTGTTGAGGCCTTATTAATTTAGGGGTTACACTGTAGAAAACAATGCTTCCAGCAACTGTGAGCTTCAGAAAAGAGTACACTTTCAAGATTCGTTGGCTTATTTACCACCCATTTTCTACTGAAGATAAAATAGAAGGGATTTAATACCTAGCTTTAAAATTCTTACAGCTAACCTGAAAGAATGTGCAGCAACTTTTTGGAAATCAATTCTGCTTTCTCACAGTACAGCATTAAAACTATGCTTGTGGATGCCTCTACGTTAGATAACTGTCAGTAAGTGGAAAAATCTACCATGACCTTACTCCAAGAACACTATTATCTGTTTCTGCCAGCAAACAAAAATACCATGTCTTCTAAAACAAGAAGCCTTGATGCTGCATGTGCTTCTTAATGTGCCTGTTCTCTTAATATCAAATGTAATAAAAGAAGTTGAGACATGTTACAACAAATGAATCCTGTGCTGAGCACTGTTTCTTGGCAGTGGATTTGTCTCATTAATTGTAGAAACCACATTAAGGGATCTCTGAAACTTTCTAAATCATTTAGTAGAATCCATTAAGTAATAGCACCAGTATGTAAAGATTGTTTTCTGGTCCCTTCAGTGATGGTTAAGGCAAGATTCACATTGCACGTAGCATTAACAAATCTACAGCATTCTTGTTCACACTGAAAGTGCAGTTCTAGAATCTAATATCTGCAGATATGAGTCTTTCTTTCTCTGTACATCTCATTTTACTCAAATGCCTCTTTCTCCTCAGCCTTACCTAATGAGCCTGACAAGCCTTTGAACAGTGTTCCAATTACTTTCCATTTCTGGAAGGAATTTATTTCCAGGTTAATAATTTTCAGGTTAATATTTTGTCTCCCTTATTACTGTCCTTTCAAAATATTAAATAAATAAAAATCTTCAACAGTTCAGCAACTTCACTGTTAACTTCTCTTTTTTATGAATCTCATGCTTGTTCTTTCTTTCCATTCTTAGAAGAGTAAAAGTACACCCTGAAATTTATTCTAGGTTGTATTATTTAAAATTTCTCCATTAGCATATTGACTTGATTTGAAGTGATATATATATTTTTTTTCTAGTTGTTCCAGATTGAAATTGAGATTTTTGTCTGTGCTGTTCCCACAGGTTTTAAGTGTTGTGTAAAAAGGAATAATGTTCTATATGGATGTTACATTATTTGTCTTAATGTAGCCAATACAAATACTCTATAGCTTCTTAGAAAACGTCTGCTTTAGATTGGAAGGCATTTCTAGTTCTTGCAAACCTAAATATTTTGATTTAGTGTCATAGCTTTTGAGGACAAGGTTTTTGATCCAGCTTTGGGTTTTAGGAAGCCCAAAGACCTTTCAGCTGCATCCTGAGTCTTCCTAATGTAAAGCTATGCTAGTGTTAACCTATAATTCAGCCTTTTCTCTTCTGAAAGATACTTTTTTTTTGCCTAACTTTACTGAGAAAAAGAAGGGCAAACAACCTTTAGGGAAGGAGTCTGGGCTGTACAGTGGTGTGCTTGCTCTCCAAGGAGTCCTTTTCAGCTCTAACAAGTTGGATGAAAAGATCAGCCTGCTGAGCTCAGTCTTCTTTCCTGCTCTTGTGTTTCCCATGAACATGCACTTAAGAGGAATAGCGTGGGCAGGGGGGGGCATGAAAGAAATGGGCTGATGCTACTTTCTTCCATTTGAATTTAGCATAAAGGCTTTATGTATTCCTTGGTTAAAAAAATTAAAAGGTATTGCCACTTAACAATATTTCAGGTAGATATAATTCAACTGAGTTTCCATAAACATGCTTGCTTTTCCTCCCCATAGAAATATGTTCTCAAAAACTAGGGCACAAATCAAATAAAACTGTGGCTGTGTAATAATCTTTTCCTAGCAGTAGCTGTGTTCTCATAAAGCACAGATTCTCAAAATATCTTCCAAACAAGATAAGCAGTTACACAGAGCAGTGGGACAGAAGAGCTATTTCCTGTACATGTGGGAGAGTTGGGGATTTTGATTTCCAAAAACTGCTTTGAAATTTTTTACAAAGGGATGAAATAGTGCAGTTTTGATACTTGTTGCTGGGTATAGCCCTGAATTTCTTGAACCTTCTGTCCAATGTCTCTCATTTTCCTTCTAGAATGGCCACAGGTGGCAGATAATTCAAGATTTGTTGGGAACTGATCAAGACAATCTTGACTTGGCTAATGTCAACCTGATGCTTGAGCTGCTGGTGCAAAAGAAGAAGCAATTAGAAGCAGTAAGTGTTTGGTTTTTTTGAGCCTTTGTATATTAAGTCAGTTTGAAGATCTGTGCAGAGTGAAGCAAGCTGTTCCTGTGATTAATCAGTGATGTCATTGGTTTGGGAAAGTTAGATATTTAGCTATTCCATGCCCTTGGTCTCAGATAACCATTTTCAGTTATAAGAGCTAAATCTTCTAAATTAAACTGGGTTACAAACTTGGGATTAAGGAAGTTTGAGTAGGATTGAAATGGTGAGGAAAAGTTGTATTGGAAATTGTGTATCTTATTCCTGTAGAATCAATATTTACTCAGTCTGTGCCTCTGATAGTGGGGGAGTAACACAAAACTATTTATTCGAGCAAGATTATATCCCTCTCTTGGGGTATGGGGGTGAAGTTTTGTACATAACTCTTTCATTGTCATTTGATGATGCCAGGGTGGGAGTATAGTTTCTAACTTCAAAGTAAAACCTCTTTGTTCTCAAGCCTGTTTGTCACTCAGGCCAAATGTGAAACAAAGAAGCATGATTGAGCTCATAAGTACTTCTGAGCAGGAAAATCTTGCAAGGATACTTAACTTTCAAAAAACAAAGTAAAAGCCATCCTCTTACACTTGAAGAATGCTTGACTGCATTTTTCTTGTGTTTACTTGCTTTACTTCTTAATTACAGTCACAGGAGTGGGGAGAGAATAAGAAAATTACAGGGGAGAAAATTATTTCCTTGTATCCAAATCTCCTTATGTTTTCTGTCCCCTCTGCCCTTAATGGGTTGTGTGTGCTGATGTCATGAATTTTTTTGATTTAATGTTCACAGTCTTTCAGTAACAAATGTTTCTGCAGACTGTGAAAACAAACTTCAGAATACTGGAATACAACTATAGGACTATATTCTGAAATGTTTTTTGTCCCTCCTGGTCCTTCTTCTCCTCTTTAAGTTTTTAGCAAATTTGGGTGTAATTATTAAGCCGAAGTTTGATGGAGATAACTTATTATGGAAAGACTAGAAATATGTTTTAGTTTCATCAGTGATTTTGTCTTCCGGAAGAATCTTCAGCAGCCGTCATGTCTCTTTACATAATCCCAAGTGTTAGTTTTGGGAGATGTTTTTCATAGGAGTATTTCATACTTCAGTCTGCTATTTGCAGAAGTGAATGCTAACGATCTTCCAGGATAGACAAGTGTGCAAAGAATGTGTATTCCAAAAGCAATTTCAGGTGCAGTTGAAGGGGAAAAAAAGAAACACTTCCTTTTTTTTTTTTTTAGTAAGCCTTCAGAAGTACAAAACAAGAACTGTTAGGGGGTTTCTTTTGTGTTAAAACTTGTCATGAACCAAATCAAAATCTTTAAAACCTGTGAGGCAAGTAAAACTACTGTTCTTAAAACTGCCTTAATAACCCATTTTCTTGTCCTCATCTCTGAATGAAAGCTGTTTCTTTGCTAAGTGAATATATGAATGCTGTGTATGAATGCTGCTTTCTCAGACCATGAAAGAGTTGCACACCCTTATTTATTATTTTACAGGAGTCCCATGCTGCCCAGCTGCAGATCCTTATGGAATTTCTCAAAGTTGCCAGAAGAAACAAACGAGAGGTAATGTGTTTTGTTTTTTTCAGTGTGTGACATGGTGTCTGCTGCTTTCTGTCACTTCATTCATGTTTAAGTGATGTGGAAGTCTGGCTTTATCTCAGCAAATAAACCAAGGCATATTTGGGGAAGTCCTCATGCAGAGGACAAACAGTTTTCCTTGCAATTTAATATATTTACCACGTGACAGCTTTTTTTTTTGCCTTTTTGTCTCATGCTGATGTGAATGTAGAATTTTTATCCTCAAGTTATTTTGTCATAAAGATATTTTCCTTCCTCCAACATGCTTCATGAAGCTCTTCAAGTTGTTTTTTTTTTGTGATGGAAAAGTTAAGACTGAGAAGGAGTGAAATTGTGGGCTGTCTTAATTTGATAGCATCGAATGCCATGACTAATGCTGTGTCAAAAAAGAATGAATAGTCCGTGCTTTTTTTCTTACTTGTCTCAAAATGAATGTCTCAAGGAATGAAAGGTGTTTCCATGCATTGTCTCTCATGGTTTGGAACTTGTTGCTTACTGTCATGCAATAGTATACACTCTGGTAGCAGAAATTTCCCAGAAATCTACAGAAATGATGTGAAAACCACAAAAGAATGAGCTTTCTAGAGGCACTGTTTTTTGTTGAAAGAAAGATCAAAGACCCAACAGCGTGTCTGCAGATTATTGCAAACTTGAATCACGTAAAGGTGATGCACGTGAGCAACCCTGTTCAGAATGGCATGAGGATTTGTTTACACAAAACTTCCTAAAGGAAGTTATCCTGAACCTGTCTGCGAATAGACATCCAGAGCCTTCTAATGAGAACCACCAACAGGGTTAATAGGAAAAAGGGGAAGGAAAAAAAAGGGGATGGGAGTGGGGAGGAAAACTGAGTACAAATTAAAGATGCTTGTGTGGAGTTTGAGACTTGCTAAGCTAGGTACAGCCTCACCTGAGAAGTGGTGACAATATTGCTGATTAGGATACCTGAGCTTCAAAGGAAAACATATGCTAGAGGATATCTTGGGTATCTTATACTAGAGGTGTCAATGAAGATGTCCACTTATTTCGTTTAATATAAAGATATTTGTCTGAGCCTTCAAGGTTAAGAAAGAAATACATGTTCCTGTGGTTTTTTTCTTGTTTAAACAGCAGAGACTTGAGCACTGCTTGAAACTGCTGAGACATCTTTAAGCTTTCACTTTATTAAAAGTTGTTCTGTAGATTGAGGAGTGCTGTATGTCTGCTTTTTTTTTTCATGTAATATTTAGGATTATGCAGATAATGTCACAAATTTGACCCGTCTTTACAGCAGAACTAATGTGGGCTCTGGCCACTGTCCAGCTGCACTCAGTAAGTACCTTCTGTGAAGATTTGGTGCAGCTAGAGGGACTGAGAGATTGCCCACGTTTCACAGTAACTCTGTTTGTCTGAGAGGCTGATACAGAGCTTGGCTGGGGTGTTCTTTAGTTGAGAAATCCTGAAATGGTTCAGCTATACAATGTTTAGGTCAGTGCCATGAAAAAAATAATGACTCTGCTTTGTACTACTGCAGCTGAAAGAGTTAAAACAACTCTCACAGAAGAATTTGCCATTGGTGCCTGCTGTAGTTTACGTTTGGGTGGAATGCATAGCTTCTGTATTTTTTTATTTTTTAGCATGTGCAGTGTTCCTCTACTGACAGTAATATTCAGCACCTGGGAAACCTTGCCCATATCATCTGTGTTTGCCCTTAGCTTCAGTTGTAATGGACATCACTTCTTAAGGCTAGGAATGGGGCCTTGGGAGCATCCTGAAGCCTGTTGGGACAGAGGATCTATTTCAGGTGCTTTCTGTCCCTGTTTATGTTTTCCTTCTGTTGCCAAGACTACTTCTGATGTTGTTTCTTATCAACTTCCCTCCCCTTTTGTATTCTAACATCAAATGCAGACTGTCACATCTCAAAAGACATTTGTGCAAGCCTGTCAGTTCTGAGCTTGCTGTAGTGGTTAGCATCTGGCCTTGCCATTCATCTTTTAGGAAATGAAGCCTTGTCAGACTTGCACTTGCAATCTTTCTTTTCACTTGATAAGGAAGATAAGAAACAATGGATAGGAGTGTGGAAAATACAAATTAGTCAGCAGGAAGGTTTTAGAAAAACTGTTTTCATCAATCAAGACTCCAGTTCTACTAACAGACTAAATTAATCCAGTTGGTTCTTTATAGTAATCCCAAGATCTTTCCCATAGTCAGCAGTGTTTGTTACAAATACTCCATTCTGTTTTCCAAATGATTTCTTCCAGAGGAGCTGCTGTTTAGGGAAGGATGTGGTCTATGCCTGTAGTGATAATGCATCTAAGTCTTAACCTGCATGCAGATGTATGCAGAAAAACTGAAGTATTAATTTGGAAGAGGGGTTCAAATTGCTATCTTAATAAAGCAGTAAAGCACAGGAAAGGTTATCAGATCTTTTAACAAATTTTAAGTTTCTTTTGATGCTTTAAGAGGTGACTTTAAGAAATAAAGGTGGAACTCAGCATGCAAAGACTCTGGAATGTTTAACGTATTTGACAGAGCTGTGAGTCATGTAAGCAGGCTTTATTTTTGTGGGGAGAGTCTGAAGGAACACTACTCTTTTGTTTTGTTTTTACTAATTCAAACCTGGTTCCAGTACAGATGACTGCAGAGTGAGTAATTGCAACTTCACTCAGTAAGTTACAGCTTCTTTTGTGTATGATTGAGTGTCTGTTTCAAATTTTTGTTTTAAATCTTCAAAGAAATACGAAATTGCCTGGTAACTTTGTTTCCTAGTGTGCCTCTTTGAATATTATTTATTGCATGATTTTATTAACAGCTTTTATTAATTATAGACTGCAATTCCTTCGGGACTGTCAATTTTGTTAGTTAATACAGATCTTGCCCTGAAGTTAGTGTACTTGTATAATATTTCATTACAACATGTTCAGAGCATATAATTTACCACCTGTAACTCTGCTTATTTCATTCATAAAAGTTTTTTTTCCTCCTGCCTTCATGAAATGGTGATGACTTTACTTATTAAAGGGGGAGCTACATCTAGAAGAAAACTCTACAGACTCATACTTAAGAATACAGAATATTGCTGTAGTCAAGTCTTCTGACAAATGCTTCTTTCTTGCGCTTTCATCATTTCTCCAGAAGATAAATGTGAAGTTCAGCACCTGCAGAAGTTTCCATTAGAAATTCTGTTTTGATGTGTTCATAACTTTCCAAAACATTGATCTTTCAAGCTGAAATTTACTGCATGTATTTTGCACAAAGGTATTTGCAAGTTCTTTTTCTTTTAAGGTTATGTTTTGTTTTCTTTCTGACCCATGGCAATATGGTTAAAAAAAAAAAATCCTTGGCAATACTAGCAGGAGAAAAAAGAATCTGACTTGGAAAAAGATTGAAAACAAATGGCTGAAGCCTGAAAATATTTTCTAAACAAAATTACGGATAGTTTTATAGTGGATGGGTGTATTGATCATCCACAATAGCTGGTTTTCTCAAAGACAAACTTAGCATGGCGGTGTGCCTTTCCATATGTGTGCAGAGTTAATTGGATGCACACTTCCTTTTTTCCATCTATTGGGCTCTTCTATTAAAATCAAAGATCCAAGGAGTCTAGAAGGTCAAGTTTAATAATGAAAAGCTTGACTTTGTGTTTTATTACTGTTTTCAAGGGAAACCAAATACATCAACCCGTGACTCTTTTAAAATCAGTAATTTGATGCCATTACCTTAGCTGTGTTGCGTAAATACTTTGTTCAAGTTTAACTTTGTTTATTTTTAAATGATTGTTTGTTCACCTTGAATGCTTAACTGCTGTTATCAGCTCTCTTGCTACCAAAACTTACTCTGTTATCAGTTTAAGGAGACTTAACTAATTATCTTGTCGTGGTTTGAATGCTACTGCAAGAAGCTAGGTACCACCATAATCTATGAATCTGTGTGTTTTGTGTGCATATATAATTTGTCCTAAAACACTTACAGCACAGCTACTTGATGGAGAGTCTGTTAAATGTTTCTGTGAAGTAGCACACTTACACAAGATGGATAATGAGTTTAACAACTGATGTCACAAATCAAGTTGTATAGGTGATATCAGCTAGGTGCATTCATGCTTCTCTTGGCAGCTGTCACTACTTCATGTTTATGGGCTTTTTATTTCTAATAAGGTCACATTAAGTCTCTCCTATTTACCAAACGAGACCTTTTCAGTGTCAGCCAATGCAAGGGGGCTGTCTTCATCTCTTAAACATTGCGTGGCAGAGGAGTAATCCTGAACTGTTCTCAGTTTGTCTGTGTTGAATGCTTGCTCAGCATCTCAGAATCATCGTCACCCTTTTCAGCCTCAGATACACATCTATCCAACCGTCTCCACTTACTCCATCCTGTGAGCATGTTAAATACTAAAAATAAGAGGAGTTATTAGTTATTGTGGGATAATTGCAGGGAATTATAAGCATGAATTCTCCAGGGATGTCATTAACTTGTGTTAATCACTTCACCTGTCAGATCTTATTGTTCTGTGCATACACACATGGATGAACTAATGAATAAGCAAGAGGAGGTGACAGAACTAGAAATCAGTCATGCTCTTATGTTGTCATATAGTCTTGATTACATTCCAGGGCTCCTGAGGTGAATTTATAGCTATAGTACTCTTTCCTGTGCATTGCACTTAAATAACTGGTATTTTAAATCTATTTGCATTTCTAAGCTGCTCAATTAGACATGTGAGCTCTGACTGTAGTGATAAGCCAAGGATGCAGTTAGGGTATGAGCACACAGTTAGGGATTACCATAGAAATATCAGTGTGTAATAGCTGACTGTTATTCCTTACTGAGCTGGGGGAGATCTCCCTAAAGAAAGGAGGGTGCAACCTAATGCTAGGAGTTAAGTGGCCTTGTACACAAATTTATTGAACTGTATTGATCTCAATGTTTAAACAGTTTTGTTCCCTGCCTCAGTGATCTTTCTTTGTGGTGTACTTCTACCTGACTGTGTCAGCAAGCGTTCAAAGCATCATCTCTGCAACCTGAACTGGAGGATTTCTTTTAAGAGGGCTTGGGAGAAATTACAAGTGTGAAACATACTTGGTTAGCCAGCCATCCCCCCCCTCCTGCCTGCAGGAATTTTGTGTTAACCAGGATGTAGTCTTCAAACCATTGTTAGCTCTTCCCCTGTTAAGAGGAAATATACGCCATTTGGAGGAAGTACTGACTGCAGGGAAGAAATATATCATTAAGACGGGTCTTATGGGTGGCCTGCTCACATGTCTAAAAGGCTTGTATCCCACAATTATCCAATGAAAATAATACGCAAAGACTTGTACAAAGATAAAAAGAACGCTCCAAAAGAAACCTTGTATTGTTTTCCACTCATGCAAAGACTTCATCAGTAAAGTTGTCAACAAATGGAATTTGATGTCAAGACTTGTGGTTTAAGAGCCTAAAATCTCTTTCAACTCAAAATCGCCTCCTTGCCTACGTGATCTATGTAGCAGGCTTTATGTAGTAATAGGAAACACTGAGGCATATGAGTGATATCCAGGGAAAGCTGATCTGAGCTGTATTTGAGACATTGAGTTTTATGGGAAGAAACTTATCTTGCTGGGTATCTGAACTGAGGTTCAGCTATTGATATACTGAGTTTATAATTCAAATTTACTAGTGGACTAGGTGGTAGAAGGACAAGATGTAGAAAGAGGATGTTGTGTGGAGGGTTCTTTGTTGTATACGGAGTGATGAATGCATGAAGCTTTTGGATCAGAGTGTTGTAGGAGCGTAGCTGACACAAAATAGCTTGTTTCCAAAAGTGTGAATCCAGAAGTTCTATTTAAGCTGTTCAGTGGGAGTTGCGTTAGGGATTTCTCAGTATTTCCTTAGAAAATAACTTCTGCTATTTCTTTCTCATCCTTTTTCTAGAATTGGAAAGCCAGTTGGCTGAAGGTAAATGACTACCTCAGGAGTTTTTCTTGGCTGTTTGTTTCCAGGCCATCTCCGTGGCAATGAGAAATTCTGCTGAGCCTTGGTCTAGATGGTAGCACCTAGAATTCACCAGAGCGAATGAAGAAAGTTCTTGATCCAGGAAAAACAAAAAGCACGAGGGTGAAAATTCCCCCAGCATGCCTAACTGCATTTGTTGCTGGATAACCATCTGACATCCAATTCTGACCATGGTGTTTAGTGCTGTGTAAGCTGCAAATAGTATTCCTGACCTAGATTCTTGAATGGAAAGGCAGGAGCATTTTGGTGTTGATGGTGCATTTATCTCTGCATAACTGTAGCTGGAGGATGGCCTTTCATATGCTTAGTCCAGAGCTGGAAGTTGATTGTAGAGAACTTTGTATCTAGACTACCCTTAGGTAGTATGGTTAAGTTAGGTTGCGTTTGGACTTGATGATCTTTAAGGTCTTTTCCAACCTGAGCAATTCTGTGAGTCTAGACAGCTTCAAACTCAAACCAGAGGGTTTTTGAGAACTGCTTGGGAATCTGAAAGGGATCTGATCTGCAAGGTTGTGTAAGAAGAAGGCTATGAGAACATACATTACCTACTGTGGTAACTTTTCTTTTGTAGCTGCATAGGGACCACAAACATGATGAGGGTGCTGGACTATTTCCCTTGTGAGGAGAGGCTGAAGACATGGTTCAGAAGAAGACTGAGAGGGGGATCTTTTTCATTTACAATTATAAATGATAATGCAGATATCTGGTGGGAAGGAGTCAAGTGGATAAGGCTGGACTCTTTTCAGTGGTGCCCAGCAGCAGAAGCAGGGGCAACAGACATAAACATAAATGTTCCATACTAACATGAGGAATAACAGAGCACTGTAATGGGCTGCCCAGAGAGTTGGTGGAGTCTCCTACTCTGGAGATACTCAAAACCTACTTGGATGCTTTCCTGTGTAACGTACTGTTGGGGAACCTTCCTCAGCAGTGGGGTTGGACTGGAGGATCTCCAGGATCCATTCTAACCTCTGTGGTTGTGATGTCTCTTTCCTTGGCTGTTACTTTTGCTTGCTGTTTTGACATACTACTGCTAGTCTGTTCATCTGAACAGAATACTGCCAGTAGTTACACCTCTTATTTTGTTAGTTCTTCAGCAGCCTCTGAAATGACTGAACTTGGAAGAGATTGTTCTTCTGGTGTGGGAGTCAAGTTGTGCCCTCTCGCTAGAATACTGTGCAGCTGGTTCACTGCATAAGTTTGTCTGTCTTTGAAGTTTTGCTTGGCTGAGGCTAGCTCTGAGTTGTACCATTAGCTTGTTTTTCTTAATTGCCGTGCAGATCTATGATGTCCTATTTTTCCAGTCCATTAGTTCTTGACTTGCATGTTCTGAAGTTCTTTCTCTGGGACCAAAACGTTCTTATAGTTTATTCACAGTGGAGTTGAAATGACTGAGTTTGTTACAACTGCTGAATTGAAGACTTCTGCATATTCACAGTGGCTCTTTCAGTTTGGAGAAGGCATCCATGTCTGAGAGTTCATAATAAGTGGTTCTCTTTTTGCATTTGTTTAAGCATTCATTCTAAGCATTATGTCAACTTAATCTAAAGCTTGATGGAAATGATTCTGCCCATCATGAGGCAGGACTTGGCTTGCTTTTTGAGCCCAACAAGACTGAAAATCAAGCAAAGGGCCTATAAATCTGGGCATATTATGAGGACTATAACTCATTTAGCTTTCCTTAACTGTTTTGCAGTGGCAGGCAATTATAATTCAGAGTAGAATTGGAATGAACATGGACTGATTTAAGGACTTTGATAGACTAAAGCAAAATGGTGAGATATTTGAGCTACCAAAAAAGGAGGTCACAGTGCAAGTACTGGTAACTGATTTGATGCTTATGGGGTCAGAAGACTCTTCCCGAAGTAAACGTGCAACACACTTACCTCATTTTTAGACTTGCTGCTGCTTGATAAATTTGATTGCTTGTCTAAATGTGACTGGAAGGAAGAATTAGCAGCTGCAAACAAAGTCTCGGGTACTTCTGGCACTGTGCAGTAGTTACTAAAAGCTGGCCAGTGCCTATAAAAAGGTCTCCTGGTTACATGATGGCAACAGCCATCAGTTATTTTTCAGTCTTCTAGTTTGGCCGTGGTCCAGTCCATTGTAGAATAGCTCATTTCCTTGCTGTAATTTTGGAACTTCTAAGCGAGGTTTTGTAACTTCTCTTTAAATAAGTTTATAGAAGCAGGGGACTAATGGTATTTGACTGCTAGAGCTGAGCCCAGGCAGGGCCCATACTGTGCAAGTGTCATTTAACTTTACCACTAATCTTGGAGCTATAGCACCACCTGCTATTCTTGCTGTAGGTTTTGCAAGTGAAAATGGAATTATCTGTTATGTGTAAGGGTTTGTAAATTATCTGTGGCACTCTAGTTTTAAACCATTAAACCTGTGCTGTCTGTGACTAAAATTGTGAACTGAAGACTTCAGAGTAGGGTGGCTAGGATATAGGTACAGCATCATCTCATTCCAAGGAAGGTGCTACCATCTTAGAAATAGGTGTGAATGCAGCAGTCCTCTCCTGTCTGTAGGCACAGAAGCATTCTTTGTGTCAAAAGGGTAGATTAAAAGAATGGATTTTCTGATGCAGAGCATGCCAGTATTTGCAGTGCTGGTCAACAGTGGGAATTTTAGTCTTTAAGCAAAAGATTGTCATTTTAAGGAGCAGGGCCCTTGAGAGAATAAGTCTTCAGAAACAATTTGCTAAATGTTCTTGGGAATATGTCATGCTAAGAGTATTATGTAATGCAGTACTAATAATTTTGGTTTTGGTCAATTTGATGTAAATAGAGTAAGGCAAAAATGTGACTGGCCTTCAAAGAATGCTGTGCTTAATGCACTTTCAGTGGACTTGCCAACTTGATGATAGCTTCTGGTCAGATGCCACAGTGCTAGCTGTCTGTAGATCTTTATGGCAAGGTGAGGCAAGTCAGGTGGACTTCCAGTTCTCTTAGTTAGGGTTGTGCATGTTGGTGAGTTGGGCTCACACAGAAGCTGGGATTGGTCTGTTTAGAGCCCTCACCTAGCATAGTGTATGTGTTTGAGTCTTGAGAGGCTGGGCAGAGGCTGTGTGGGTGTCTGGATGGAGATGTCTATTGAATGAGTGAGAATTAGAGCTGGTGAGCAGGTGATGCTCTTGCTTAGGAGTGAGCAGTAAGCACCAAGTCTGTGGCTTTGCTGTGTGTGTGATGAGTCAAACCAGGGCAATGTCTGATTGGAGAGGAAAAAAAAAGTGTGACCCCAAAAAGGGAAAGGAAGTGGTGGCTGGTGAGTTTGGAAGGAGTTTCCTTCTGAGCCTGTCAGAGACAGACCTTGGTTAGATTGGCTGGAATCTGTGGTGTAATCCGAGGTTTTGTACCTTTTAAAGCAATGCCACGCTTGCTTGGTACCAAGAGCAAATCTCTCCCTGGTTATAATGTGTGTTTTTGCCAATCTGAAAATCTTACCAGAAACTTTAACTTGTAATTAGTAGATTAACTGCTAGAAAGGGAAGTGCTCATAATACTTTTTAGCTAAGTATTTCATATTTTCTTCAAGGATGAAGTGTTTGTGGTCTTGTTCATGGTGTCTTTGCCTGATAATTTTTTTCAGTGCTTGTAAACAAGTTATAAATATCTTGCATGGAAGGTGCTATGGGAGCGTAGAAGTGTAACTTTGAATAATGCGGATCTTTGTGTTTAAAATCAAAGTACATCATGCTCTTGTTTTGTACTGTTTCCCTATAACAACTTTGTCTTAAAAGTAGTTTGTGCATACTTATGTTAATCTGTACATGTGAACATCTGCCTAGCGACTTTTGAATCACTTACAGTTACAATAGTTAAGGTTTCTCTCTGAAAAGATCTTAATTTATCTTGGCAGTGGTGCTGTGCAGATTGATTTAGATTTCTCCCATTCTCTTATCCACAGCAACTGGAGCAGATCCAGAAGGAGCTAAGTGTTCTGGAAGAAGATATTAAACGAGTAGAGGTGAGGTGCCCAGACGTTATTCTGACTCTGGCAATTTTTCTTTTCCATCAAGCTGTCTGCCTTGCTGTGGGGCTGATGTGTTAAATTTATGGCAGTTGCTTCAGTAATGGGAAAATGAACAGATGATGCTCTTTCTTTAATTTGTTCACGTAGTTGATGTGTGCAGACTGCAGGTTAGTAAGGGGGGGCTTTATTGAAACCTAGCTCTTATATAATCATATCTTTCAATTTCTTTGTGAGTAGTGTTTTAAAATAATTGCTAGATATCAACAGCCAATTTATTGATCGTGATTTATGATTTTTGTGTTGCCCTATTCTGGCTGTCTGTACAGGCTGTTTAAATCTTAGCAACGTGCCACAGTTGAAATGGAGATGCATCAAGGGTGCCTGAGAGAGCTGTAGTGCAGAGGCAGGGTAGCAGCAGAATCAGCTCCTACTGCATGTCAGAACAGAAACCATCTGCTACTTCCTGATCCTCAGGATCCTCTTGAGATTTTTTGTTAAGAATTATTCTCTAAGAATTTGTAAGCCCATCAGCTCAATCCTGCTATCCTCATTCAGTCCTTCAGGTTTCTGCTTGATCCTTTCCCCCAGTCATTTTAGTGTTTTGATTATGAGGTAGGAAACTGTTTTAGGAATGCATCAGATTTTGCCACCTCTCTAAGTAGATTTCCCTTAGAGCTTCTTGGGAATCAGTTTGCATGGCTGCTGTTCTTCTTGCTTGCCTCAAGCAGTCAGTCCCATCTCCCATCCACTGCCCAAAAGCCTTTTAGATTTCTACATTTATGTTGAATTCATACACGTGCTGATGAATTATCAAAGTATAAATAGAACTGACAGCTGCAGGAACTTCCCTTCAGCTGATAACTATGCAAATTGTAGTTCAGATAACACTGTTTCAAGCTGGCTTCCCTGAATCTTTCTCAGCTCTTGGGAAATAAATATGCCTTAGCTTGCTAGACTGGTAAAATAGGCCTTCAAATTTAGGAGAAGCTATTCTTAAAGCTGTGGGGTCCCTTGGAGAATATGTAGCTACCTGCTTTTCTGCTCTTTAATCTGGCAGTTCAGCAGGCTGCAGCTGGGGTATGCATCCCGTGTGTGACAGCGACCTCAGTGCTGACCTCTGAAGCCTGGGCTCTCTCTTGTCACAAATATCTCACTTTCTACCAACAACTAATGGGCACCTAGTGGGAATTTTAAAAGTACCAGTAATGTCCTGGAACATTTTGGCCCCCTAACTAATGAGCTGCAGCATCCTGCATAGCTTCAATTTCTCAAATGGATTAAAGATACAATCTCGTACTGCGTGCACTGTAGTGATTTAGTCTGGAAGTGACAAAGCTGAGTTCGTGTGTAAAGTTTCCCCTTGTGCACCTACTCCACAGAAGAACTGATAGATGCTCTTTTAAGTCTGGGGCACAATACCACCTTTGCCCTGTTGTCTTGTGGCTGTTCTTTCTTTGACCTACATCTGACATTACTTTATAGCTGCAAAGGCTGCTGGATAAAAGTTAGCATGTGTCTCAAAAATATGCTTAGAGCTTGCTTGTTCTGCTGTGCTTAAGGGAGATGCTGGGTTAGGGACTCTTGGATGTTAACTAAATCCACTGGTGTTTTCTTTTTGTTTGAGTATAAACTTTACAACTGCCTTTTGTGGGGCAAAAAATCGCTGCAGCTGTGTGGTTTCATAAACCCAGTTGATACCTGGGTTTGTGAGGAGCAATACCTGAAAGAAAAAATGAAAAAAAAATCAAGGTTTCTTCAGGTATTCAGCTTCAGGGGGAAACTTCCAGGAGGGAATTGAAGAATTGCAAATACAGATCATTATTTCTTTAGGAGGAAAAAAAAAACAAAGCAAGAAAGTCTATGTAAATTCCATATATTGAAATGTGCCTACTCTTCATGTTTTGTCAGCTTTGCTGTAATCTGGCTTTCTGTTTCAGGAAATGAGTGGCTTGTACTCCCCAGTCAGTGAGGACAGTACGGTGCCACAGTTTGAAGCTCCCTCACCTTCACACAGGTATGCAGCTTGTGACTTGGAGCTTGGATCTCCAGCTGTACATGTTAATCCTCTGTGCTGTTCTTGTTAGTCCTCTCCATGCCATGCACGAAACACAAGCAAAACTTGAGTGCCATACAGTATTTACCTGTTTTGATTTTACTGGTACAAATTCACATGGACAAAGCAGTGAAAAAGTTGTCCTCTGAGCTTACAGTTGGATGAAAAGTCTTCTCCGATCCAGATGATGGTTTTACATGTAGTATGGGCTAGTTAACATGAGTAATAAGCCTTTACTATGGTATGAAATATTACTGTTAAATACGTGTTGAACATTGTGCAGTTTTTTGACATGTGAAAGCATAATTTTGCAAGATCCACTGTCCTCTGGCTTTTCCACTCTGCGTGAGTGACCAAAGGTGCAGGCTTACAGAATCGGACTGTATGTAAAATACACAAAGTGTTGATTCGGTTTATCTGCTGTCTGCTTTGATTTAATGAAATGCCTTTCTAATAACATATTTTCAATGTGGATTTTAGTCTGGAATATTGCATAGTCTGGTTTCTTGATGACAAAATTGCAGATGCTTCTTACATCCAAGTTGTGTGTGCCAAGGTTTGAAGTGCTCTGCTCTTTATAGCCATATTTTTTTCAGTTGGAAGAAAGCTCTGATTTCACAGGGCCAGGTTACGTTATTAAATGATCTTCTCTCCTACCTCTCCCAAGTGTATTTTCCTAATCGCAAGAGTTCTGTAAGTAGCTGATTTCTCTTACAGAATTTTCTTGGTACTATTACTGCAATTAGCAGCTCCAAACCTGGTAGCTCAGTAGCAAGCTAGACAGAAATGATCAGATTTCCTCTCCTGGAGAGATGTAGAAACAATGCATTGGTATGGAGAGCAGTGCTAGTGGCTGGGAATTTTTACTAAGTTGCTATTTTTGGACCCAGAGAAAAGAATCACTAGTATTTCTAGGAAGTTCTAGTTGGCTTTAGTGGAAAGGACAGGAATATAGCAAAGATGGACAGGAGCAGCATTTGTTGCTTTGTCCTTTGCTGCTTGCCCAACTTTGGGGTGTGGGTGTGCTTTCTGTGTGGATTATAGCTGCTTTGCTAAGCAGCAGTTTTGTGAAGCTGATGAGATTTTTGTCAGGTTCTGCTAGTTTTCTGGTTATTGGCTATTAAACAGATTGCTTGTGGTTTGTTTCACATCACTGCTGTTTGGGGATAACTTCAGCAAAGGCTGGGCTGAATTTGTTCCTCACATGTTGAGCGCCTTCAGGCGTAGAAACCTTTTTTTTTGGGGGGGGAGATTGTATTTATGAGTAGAAATGTATTTTTGTTACTTGGGGCAAATTAACAAACAAGCTCCAAGAGGACTTTATCTATTGAAATCTCAAATAATGCTTTAAGCCCAAGAGATTTTGTGAGAAGGTTTGAGTATCTGCTGCGTGTGACCTACGCTGGTATCAATCTACTGAGAATTTCTTACTATTTCTTACGCCTCCTTATTTCATGTGCTAGGCTCAATTATTCTCTGTCCTTGCTTTTGAAGTTGTAAGATAATCCTGAATAGTTCAGGGAGTTTCAACTGAGGTCTGCTGGGAGATGGTGGTAGGTCAGACCATTGTGGGTGCTGAGACCATGGGACTGTTTTCTTACTGGATCCTTCTTATGCTGCTTCTGTTCTATCTTGGCTGTGTCTGAACCTCTTTTTCCTTCCCCTCTTGTACAGTGTAATAACACTGATATATTGTGATCATATATAAAACACAGTATATAGTGTCTTTCTGTACTATGTGGGTTTGCTGATTGCTTTTCTGTTTCTTGATGGCATTGCTGCGTTAAGAGGTAGTTGTGAGTAGTGCAAGAGGAAATGGTAGGTGAAGGCAATGTCTGAACAGGCATCCCTTGTTACCTGGCTCTTGTGGCTTCTATCCCTCCCCGATCCTGACAGATAATGTGGTTTTATGTAATACAAGTAATTGAATTGGCTTAAATTACATGAACTCTGATTCCGGAAACTTCTACCACTTGAAATTCTTTTTTTCTTTTTCCTAACGTTAAGTCTGTGCTTTGTGGAGTATCTCCCAAATTAGCTGTGATTCCTCCTTGGAAAGAGTGGTGCAGGACAACTGATAGGAGCTTTAAGATCTGCAGGTTTTTCCAGTTCTGTGGTAGCTGATATATTTTATCTTCCAAGTGCTTTTTATTGATGCTGTGAATCAGAAAGGCTGAAACACAAATATTTTTGAGGTAGTTTCACTTCTCCGTTAAATGATGTTAAACTGGCAGAGACTTTTTACACTTTACCTGAATTAAAATGGTATATTAAATTGGAATATAACTTGTTAATATGCTAAACACCTTGATGATGAAATATAATCATATAAACTTACTACTACGACTCATAAATAGCACAAGGCTATCATAGATCCCTGCTGAGATAAAAAAAAAAAAAAAACTATAGCCTTTAAATTTAAAGCTCAAGAACGTAGTTCTCTGCATTTCAGAGTTTTATCTGGTCTCCAGTGACTTGCCCTTATTCAACTACTTGCTCTAAATTACAGCTTTGCTTCATTAATTCTTTTCATTGTTTCTTGCTTTTTTCATGCATCTCCAACATCTTCAAAATGTGAAATTACTGTGCCTCCCCCCATCTTCCTTTCTGAGTCCCTTAGCAAGAAAACAAATACAACTATCATGTTCAGTGTGTTCTCTGCTTCAAGAAACAAGTGTTTTTTCTTTTATGCTTGTACAGGGCGTGAGGAAATATTCAATTGAGTAATAGCATGCCACTTGTTTACAGGACTGCAGATTGCTGGGTTTGTATACTAATAGAGAACAAGATGGGAAGAATAGGGAAAGAACAAATAGTTCTGAGTTTGACAGAACAGGCTTGTGTGCTATTTTTGGTAAGGGTAGATGGTGCAAACAGGAGATAGAAGCAGCAGCTTCTCTGTGGCTAGGTATTCAGGCAGTAATAGCAATAACAAACCATCATTCTAATAGGTGTTTCTGGGGAGAGATTCTGATGTTTAAAAAAAAAAAAAAAATAGTTGCCTGGTAACTTGGCCTCAGTTACCAAAATCCTGATCTCCTTCCCCTGCATTTGCTCTTAGCCATCTCATAAGAATATAACAAATGTGATTTACAGAGGCAGGTTGCTGCGTTGTTGTTCTCATTCCAGGTTTTTAAATATGTCATTTTAGAGGAGCTGGATTTCCTAATTGAGCCTGCTGCTACAGCTTCTTAAAAGGAGTTCAGAGGAAACTTTGATTTTTCTGATTATTTGCTTCCTGTTTTTTAAATGGAAAACATGCAAACATATGCCAGCTTAACTTGGCTTCGGGCACCATGCAGAAACAGCTTTGAATTTGTATTCTGGTTAGGGAAATGACGTCTGCACTCCTGAAGGCTTTACATCACCAGACAACCTGCAGGAGAACGAGACTAGACACCCTGAGTCTGTGTGTTTTGCTGTTAATTGCTGCTATACCTGTCTCAGAGTGGAGTACTTTTTCATTGCTTTCCAGCCGAGTGTCTTATCCATGCTGTTTCTGGCAGGGTCTACTGTATGTGTTTCATTATTTCATGTGGCCACGTCCTAATTTAAAGTTCATTGTCCCTGACCATGCTTGAAACAGCTCTGCTGTTTCTCCTTTGCAATAGCTAGCAGCAAATAATGATTTCTATCCCTTAGATTCTCTTTGTTTGCAGCTTTTGTCTTGCTTGTTACAGAACTCCAATCAATCTCATCTTGCAAGTTAGCCACTAGCGATACTTTAAAATCATCTCTCATCTGTTTCTACTTCCTTCTACTTCCAGGAGAGCTTTAAAGCATTCAGAGAAATATTTAAGCACCAGTACCACTATTTCATCCTCCTAGACTTGCAGGTACCCTGACTGGTGTTCCAGCCAGACCACTTGATTCGTGACCAAGAATGTCATGTCTGCCCATCTGTTCTGGCAGCCATTACCTAAACATCAGTACATACAACCATTTCTTCCAAAACCAGGACTTATAGAAATGTTCTGGCAGCTTTTTAAAGAAATGTTCAGCTCCTCCCAGGCGGTGCTTAAATCTGGGGTTAACTTATAAGTAAAGCTGAGAATAACGAGCATAGCTTCTGTCCAAATCAATTGAAATGACAGAGCAGAAGTGTTAGAGGAAAAAAGATTTTTCAGAAACAAATCAGAAACACTGATACTTGTAATGTGTTCTTTGTAATTAATGAAGTGGTGTTGTGCATTTAAAATTTTTGAATAGGTGTGCTTTAAACTGACTCCAATGCTATATTTACATTTTGCCCATAAATGAGAGCAGACTTACCACCTTCTTTTTGGCTCCATCAGATACCTTTGCATTTTTTGAAAATGAAACATTTGGAGTTGGCATGTATACGTTATGTTTTAACAGCAGTGATTTAGATATGCTGGGTAATTATAAATACTAACAATGGAGCTATATGTAGCGTAGCAGTCTCTAGTAATAGCACTCTTGGCCATTGGTATTTGAGTTTAGTTCTGTATTTAGTATTTGTATTTAGTTCTGTGTCTGTTCTGTGTGTGTTCAGAGGTGTCTGGAACACTTGTGTTTTTCTTAAGCTGGTTCCTTCAGCTTTTTCTTCACTCTGTTGTTTCAAATGCAACAGATTTAAACTTCTCTTTTTTTAATTTAAAGGAACTGAAAACCAATGGTAGCATGTTATTTTTCAGAATGTCTTAGCCTGCATATTTCATGCAACAGATATGCATTTGCATGCTAATTAGAAATTATTAGATTGTACTACACTAAATTGTGTGTGACAGTAAACAAATTTATTGTACGTACGGAGCTGATCAGCATTCTGTTCTAGACATTGTGCATTTAAAAACAGAACAAAAAACCCACATTGCTCTTGAATCCCCAAATAAAAAACAGCATTCTGTTCCCTGTCTATAAAATGGGTTTCAAAGGTAAGTATGCTACAGGATGTGAAGAGGTTGGAAATAATAAAGGATGATTGTACAGTGATTTAAGCAGACTATTTCTTTTGTTTTTGCAGTAGTATTATTGACTCCACGGAGTACAG